ACGTTCTCGCAGGCTGGCGGCTCACAACAATGGGGCTCCTTCGCCTCCCACGTCTCCCCCAGGGGAAAATGTCCATCTCAGGTTGTCTGTAACTGCCTGCCTCCGAACTCGAACTCTACTCCCATAACTCCGCCGTCTCAAGACTCTCTACACTTAACGCTTTTTTGCAGTTACTTCAGCATCCCCGTGGAACAAAGCTCCTTATCTATTTAAGAAATTCCCCACGTTTTGTAGAAGCCTAGAGTTGATTGCCGTGTTTACAAGAGTCCTCAATTGATGGTAGTTGTGGGCCATTATTCAGTGATCTTCCAACCATTCGACACCATACAATTGACTATTGCAAGCATTGTTGTGTATATCATAAATAAATAAATAGATAGAAACTAATCCTTTCGAAGAGCTGTGCTTATGACTCTTCTCTATTTTTAAGACTTATGAGGCATAAAGTTTAAACCCTAGCAATTATGTATATTGTTTGTGAATTCGGTTAAATTTCTATGCTTTTCTGGCACCTAAATACTCTCTGAGAATCGGTCGTTATCGAATTCTGCTTAGTCACCCACATTTTGAATTTGTCATCTCTGACGGCATTGCTTTCTTCATCAGTCTCGTAACAGGTAAAGAAACAAACCAATCCGACAATGGAGTGTACAGATCACTAGTGAAATGCTGTCAGATTGTCTAGGATAACATTAGAATTCCTCCTGAAGTTCTAAAAATGGTATTACTTCAATTCCATGTGTCTGTCCATAAGGGGATAAAACTTCCGCAATTAATCAAGAAGAAAACGAAAACTTACAAATAATTTCCTTCCCCCCTGGGAACTTTTCTGGTTTACTGACTGGCCAAATAAATAACTACGTGGCGTACACATACTAACTGGATGATCTGTTGACTGATTAAATTACAAACTGCTCAACTGGCTGACTGTGAGCTTCTGCCCGACCGACCCACTCTTTTATTATCGACTGGTAACATAATCCGAAGACTGAACAGTAGCCGCACAACGCATTCTGTCAGTTGGCGCTATTCTGAGACAATTCAGAGCAGTTCGCGCCCTTACAAATTAAATTTCAGTCAGTATTTTCCTGCATCTTCCCAGTGGCCCAAGTACTTCCTTTCCAGGACACTTTTCCATCGAAATTCTGAATACCTGGATTCTGCCCCAACCCTAGTTATAAACACTGTATGTTATTGTAACTTCTTTTAATTTGTTATCCTAAAAGTTCGAGGCGAGATGTATAAAAGCAATAATTGTCTCGATAGTGAGCCCAACTCCCAATTTCATCATAAAACTTGGGTCCATTAACTAACTAACTACATGGAGCTCAACCCTTCTTGGGAAGCAGCAGGTTATGCAGCTACTCAAGAATTTCCCAATATTTTATGGAACACGAAGGGTCATTACCGTGTTCACAAGAGCCCTCCGCTGGTCCCCATCCTGAGTCAGATCAATTAAGTCCATACCATCCCATTCAATCTTTTTAGGATACATTTCCATATTATCCACCCCCCTACATCTTGGTTTTCCTAGTGGTCTCTTTCCTTCTGGTTTCCCACCAATATCCTATATGCATTCCTGTTCTTATCATTCATGATACATGCCCTGCTTATCTCATCCTCCTTGACTTCATCATTCTATTTGTATTTGGAGAAGAGTACAAGCTCCTCATTATGCAGTGTTCTCCAACCTCCTGTCACTTCATCCCACTTCGGTCCAAATATTCTCCTCAGCACCCTGTTCTCAAACACCCTCAGTCTGTGTTCCTCCCTCAATGTCAGAGAAACACGATGCGGAACCACAGACAAAATTATAATTTTGTATATTCTAAGTTTTATGTTTTTAGACAGTAGAGGTGGAAAAGAAAATGTTCTGGGCTGAATGGTGGCAAGCATTACCCGGATTCAGTCTCCTCTTAATTTCCTCCTGAATCGGGTTTTGGTTTTTTATAGTCGTTGCCAGATATCTGAAATGTGCCACAGTTTCAAACGGTCTGCTACCCATCTCCATGTCATGATTTTGCCCTGCCATCTGGTGATGAGACAGCGACATGTCTTAGTTTTATCTGCGTTTGCTTCTAGACCAACCATCTTACTAGCATTAATTAAAGTTTCTGTGTTTTTCTTTATGGTGTCTGTCTCTCTTATCTCCCAGCAGCTGATGTATCCCATTTAAGTTCAGTGCCAACTGGTTTTCCTGGACCATTCTGATAGAATATTCTAAAGTAAAGTTGACAAACAATGGCGACAAAGCATCCTCTTGTGTCCATCACGTTATGAAACGCTTGGCGTTTGTTATTACTTCAGGCGGAGAGACTCATATGAGAGTGTATTATAAATATTTGGAAAGGAAAGAAAATGTCGGCAACCCGGAGTATTAGACAACGACGATGCAACTTGGCTTCCAGTTGATACATTTACCTTCACTCTTACGTACTTCCACCAACGGCAACAATTCTTCCAAAATCCGTCCGAATCTGGTTTCTATTGAAGCGTTTCGTAATTGAAACCATATAAATTTAATTATATTGTTTCCATTGTATAAGCAACCTATCCTCTCAAAATTCATCTCGACGAACACATATCGTGATTTATTGCATCCGATTATATACCAGCAATGACGCTTAAACACGTAGAGTAGTATTCATACATGCGTCAAAAATTAATACACTTCCTCAGGGTTCTTGGAACCATAGCTGCTGACAGGGCTCAACCGTACCTGTTTCCTCAGCACACCTTTCTGATTAATACACAAGTCTATAATCTTAACATTCTTCTTAAGACGTTTGGCATCCGTCCGCTGTCTCTGGTGTTGTAAAACGGCTGGAAACACTAAAAATCTTTTTTATGTTTCTGATTCACATTTTTGTTACAATCTTCAGATATTCGACTCTGTTGACTAGGGGGATAGAAGAGTGAAAGTATGGGAATTCGGGAGAGACTGAAGAGAAAACTCTTTGTTTCATGCATCACTACCAGACTGTTCCATATCAGCTGCAAGAGAATATTACCTTTTCTATAATCTCAACCAAACGCTTGCATAGTTGCTGAAATACAGAGTGCTTTCAGTTTCCTGTAAGTTTGTACTGAATTCGAATATCATAGTTTCATTTCGTCATAGATGGAAATGAAGCGTCGTTTCGAAGATGAAATTGGAAGACATTTGAAGTGCAAGTACTGTGACGTGAGACTATACATTCTCGGGTGTACGATACAAAAGCGCGAGTCAGGCAGATGCCTGAGAGGGCGGGAGGTGAAGAATATAACACAAAGCTATGTACATTGAATTTTACTATATTTAAAAATAATTATATAGGATTGTGCATGCGCTTCTGCTATCGGCGTGTGCGCGCGTTTCTACTGGCGGCCTTTAAATGCCAGAATGCACGAATGTGTACTTTGGCCACGATGAATGTGCCTTTCAGTGTACCGATATGTGCATTTTGGAAGCGAAAGATAAGAAGAACCCATGCTACTCTATAAAAATTCCGGGCGCTTTTATAGTATATGCAGTGTTCGTTTTACGAATGCATCAGTAGGGCTACCAGGAAGTCTAGAAACCTTGATTCAGTGTCGCTCGTTGCACTGTGACCAGCGCATTTGCTTCATATTCAAGATAATTTCTAGCTTTCCGTGAGACCGACGTACTTCACAGGCATGTACTGTCTTCGCTCGCTTGGAAACCGGGATCGTGGGTTCAAAACTCACTCAGGGCATGGATGTTTAGTTTGTGTGTGTGCGTTTCTCTGTGTTTGTGTACAGGTAGAGGCCTTGCGACGAGCTGATCACCCGCCCAAGGAGTCCTACCGAATGTGTAAGATCTAGAAAAACAGAAGTGAACGGAGAAGTTCATGGAGGTAGGCCTAGGCCCACTGGGGCTGTAGTGTCAAAGCAGAATGTGTATATATTAACCGTCTTTTAGTGCATACAATTTCACTTGTCACTTCACACGACATGTTTCGGCATTATTCTGCTATCCTCATGTGTATTAATCACGTTAAACCATTGCACTGCATGGCATAACACACGAGTTTGATATACGACATGTAAGATGATAGATCTTAACAAGTTTTAATACATAAATTTTATTATTGAACAACGACGAACACACATTTTATAAATGAACACTCGATGGAAGGCAGTGCAATGGTTTAACGTGATTAATACACCTGAGGATGGCAGAATGATGCCGACACATGTAGTATGAAGTGACAAGTGAAATTGTATGCGCTAAAAGACGGTTAATATATACACATTATGGATACATAATTATCCTGCCATATCTGTACTGCATGATCTATATGATAACAAAGCGTCGTTAAATAAAGAACAAAAAACAAGCAACCTCCGTGGCTTTAATCCGCAAGCGAACTATACGGACCGAGCGACCGCCGCTTGTCGGCGAAGTTAGTGCTAACTTTAACGGATAGAGGGTGTCGCGTGGTCAGCGCAACGGATACCCACAGCCGTTAATCTCGGTTTTCTAGACCGAAACCGCTATTTTTTCATTCAAGTAGCTCCTCAATTATCCTCACGAGACTGAGTGGACCCATTACTTGTCAGAAGATCTGGTATCGCCGGGAATCGAACCCGGGACCTCTGGATCTGTAGCCATGAACACTGACCCATAGACCACAGAGGCGATCTAAGTAAATAAAGACACGAATAAAATGATTATGTGGTGCAATGGTGTAGTCGGTAAAGTGACCAGCTACTGGCCAGTCGATTAGGATTCGATTTATCTTAGATCGAGGAATTTTTCTCTGCACCAATAAGCCCAGACCAGCAAAGTTGGCGGAACATGAAGCCGACCACTTATCGTTGTTTAATTGTAAGATCTGAAATGTGTGAAGCTTTGCCTTGACAACGCTTAGACGTGTTCATGATATGATGCTTAGGCACAAAGACAACTTTACCTTAACTCTCAAATGTCTATATATAATATATTAGTCAGTAACCAAACTTTTGTTGATTGATTGGATCGTGATTGGTTTTTACAGGTGGACATGACCATGTGAAAGGAGAAGGACACAAATTTCATGCCCCCAACACCACCTCCCATCTCCGAAATCACAACCATGATCACCACAAGTGAGAGCACCCAATGCAGTTGCTGCAAAACATGTCTTCCAGCAAGAAGGTTAACAGCTGTTGCACATGTATGGAACCTCAAGGGACAGTTAATATACACAAACCAAAACGCTGTTTCTGTGATTTCTATGATCAATTCAGTATTTCCTCTCTGTCTGTTAGACAACTTCTGACAAGAATCTGAGCTTTTGTAGGTAGCATGCTGGAAGTTCTCACACCTTTGACAAACAGCACAGTATTATTAGAAATGTCACTACATAAATTTGCAACATCATGTAAATTGCTCACTGGAAATACATAATTTTGAAGTTAATGAGTATTCTTTTTATTTATTTACATCACTTCCTTCTCTCTTCTTTCAATATAGATGATTACTGAACAGAAACATTAGTAACACTTCCGCAGGACAGTAACAGAACTTAACCAACAAAGGCCAAAATGAAACACAGTGACAGTAATTACCATGACATTGATTGCTTTAATGTTATTAAACAGGAAAACAGTCTCACCAAAAGAAGTGAAACTTAATCTTAAATAAGCAATGATAAAACATTTTTCTTTTCTATATTTACAGTGAGACAATGCTCTGATAGTCCTATGTGATAAAACTGCTTTTGATTTCATAATTGCAGTCCTGTTATGCATGACTGAATAATTATTACTCCTTCCTGAAATTTATTCCAGTACTAGACGCTTAACAGGTGCACATTCCTTGTAGTTTTCTTTTTGCTAAGTGAGCAACTGTAGATTTTATCCAAGCACATGTGACTTCTTTTAACCAATGCTCAAGCCAGTAATCTCATTGGGAATGAGTTCTCTGTGATGTAACTAACATATTGCTGTCTCTTGTAGGTCTCTACAGTAGCGAACACAAGTCTAGCTGTTGGATGTTGCACTGTAGTGGTGATATTGAAGTGAAGCTGAATGCCTTTTGAGGTTTGAAAAAAATTGTAGATTCTCATAAATTAAAAATGAGAAACTTAAATTGGGAGAACTATAAATTCATAAAATTCTTCTCAAAATTTACTAATTAAATTTAATCTCTTAAGCTGCTTTTCCAAAATAGTAAGGATTCCACAGTGTAAAGATTAAGGTCTTCATAGTCCCTGCTCTGAGATCATTATATGCAATAGAGTTATTATAAAATGTTCTGTACTCATGATATATCGACTTTTAGTCTGAGGAAAGAGAATAAATTGAAGATACTTCAAAACATAGTACAAAAAGATGTATTTAGATCTACTAGAGTAGGGACTAACTGAAATTGCATAATTTGTAAGGTGAGCATTAGCATGAGGCACTATACTACCAGCCAGAAGATCCCAGGTTCAATTCCCGTTAAGGTCACTGGATTTTTCAATTGGCCTAATCTTTCCAGCCGCACTGTGACCCAGGGGTCGACTCAGCCTCTAACAGAAATGAGTACCAGGAAACTTCCTATGGGTAAAGGGCAGCTGATGCATAAGGCTGATAACCTCAGTGCCATCTGTGAGCCAGTTGTCTAGAAAATGTGGGAACCACGATGTCTCACAGTGCTATGGGCCTAGATAGCCTGTTATAGAGATAGCTTTGCCTTTACCATAATTGATTTTATTAGACTTATTAAATCCTGGATCTTATGATGATCTAGCAATACACCTTTAAATTGAGCTGAACCATATCTGACTGTACAAAATATATTCACTGTTATTTTACCCAAATGGTCAGGCACACTTGACTTGGGTATTAAGTTTATGGATGATATTCTGTGAACTTGTTATGCAGCGATTCATAATGATCATAATTCCAAATAAACCATTTTAGGATGGATGAAGGACAAAGGAAGAAGTTACACAGAAGCATGAGAGGATCCTGCAGATCTTAGTGATCAGGATTCAGTGTTTGTGGTAGATGACAATGATCATGGGAAAGCTGGAAGTGGGGTGAAGAGTAACCCACCAGTGATGGTCTCAGTTTTGATAGTGTAGTTCAGACTGTGCTGCTGCCAGAAATTCTTATTGTCAGAACACATTCAGATAGTCATCAATGGAGGTTCTTAGCCAATCAAAAACATATTATATATATTTCATACAAGAGTAATTTACATGTCCTCAGACTTGAATTCCTAAAGCAACTGGTGGCAGAACAAATGATGGCAAACCCCCATCCCCCCACCCCAGGAGAATATTTGAAGCTGTAACAGAAGGAACTTCTTATTACATGACACAATTTCATTATTTGAATTGGCTCACACAGCAAAAGAAGTCCATAGAAGGTGAAGGTGTTTTTGTAGTTAGATGTTGTGTAGCTTGATATAGAAAACAGTAGATCTTGTCATAACAGGGAATTACAGTAATAACAATAGAGTACATTGTCATATATGCTAAAACAACTTGCTGCATAATGTGTCAAGAGATCAGTAAACTTTCTTAAGACTATTCAAAATAATTGGGGCATGTAGCGTGGTTGGTTGAGGCACTATGCTACAAGCCAGAAGGTCACGGGTTCAAGTCCAGGTGAGGGCATTGAATTTTTTTTAATTCACCTAATCCTTCCAGCCGCACTATGGTCCTGGAGTCGTTTCAGCCTCTAACAGAAATGAGTACCAGGAATATTCATGGGGGTAAAGGGCGGCCGGCATATAAGGCTGACAACCTTGCTGCCATCTATGAGCCAATTGTCTAGAAAATGTGGGAACCTCAACATCTCACAACCCTGTGGGCCTCCACTTCCTGTTACAGGGATACCTTTACTTTTACTTTACTTAACTTATTCAAAATAATTGGTATGCAAATTTTGAGATAGCTTTATTGAGAACAGAATTGCATTTACCTGTTATACATGTAAGATCTTATGACACAACATAAGAATCATGCTTTAAAATCTGATAATACTGGTTCATCTAGAATCACTGCCTTCAATAAAACAAGTATTGACAGTGTACAATTTTGATGAAACAGGCATTGCAACAGTAGTATGGGTTCCAAATGATGTTGCTCAACTGGAAACGAGACTGTTGGGCAAACAGTCCCAGGGGAGAAAAGAGGTGGTGGTCGCAGCTTGAATGGGTGTAAACACCTAGCATTTTCATGTAATCTGTTTTCGTCATTCATGGGGCAAGGTTCCATGACACAGTGCCGCTTGGTGCACCTCCTGAAAGTCTTGGCTTAGCCAGCAGTTCATAGAGTGACCAGATGATTGACTCCATGTTTATGACACATGAGGAGTACACAGTGTTAGACTGTATTCTGCTCATGGACAACCATGATAGCCATTGCACTCATGATGCTGTTCTCTAAAGAAAAGAAAACTATATTGTTTTAATTTTATTTCCTACCTTCTACTCTCATTGAGTGCAGCCGTTAGATGTAGGAGACATTGGTCCATATGAAGCAAAGTTGCAGGTGGTAAGGAATGAGTGGATGGCTGCTATTCTTGACAGGAACAACCCACACCTAGGCTTCACTAACTAGTACTGCATCCCAGACTTAATTTAGAGTAACAAATATATAGAAGCAGTTGTTAGAAAGTCCTGAGAATGATTGTATAAGTAAATTAAAACTTAAGAAAATTGAACTTATCAGTAAGTTACTGTTGTCCCCTTCAGAGCAGTTCTCTTTTGGAGCTGTACACAAATCTAATCTTTTGTGCCACATTTAGAAGTATATCTGGAATGAATCTTCTAATATTTCTTTTATCACATGTGAAGCACATTGATGGATCTTCTTCAGCAATGAAAAATTAGTTAATTTCCATGAAGTTTTTATAGTTGATATACAAATAAGTCATGGGAAGAATATGACAGGAAGAGTCTAATTTTGTTTCAGAAATTTCTTCTGTGCTTTCTCAAGTTTTTTTGGCACAATTTCAGCGTGGTGCCTTCTTCATTTCAAGATTGATGACTATAGTTAACGAACACTCTATTTCTCCATCCCCAACTCTTCTGATGTCATTCGATAATCATTCTTTGATCAATGCAAACAAGTTGCTATACTTTTTCAGCACATTCATAAATTTTTGCTGTTGTTTGCTGGCCCAGTCAAGAATCATCATGAAAGTCTTCTGTTCCTTCAGAAAATCATTTGTGCTGGTTGAAAACTTGTCCCTTTGATACTGTAGACTCCTTATAAACTTTGGACAATTTATAAAAATTATCAGACATGTTTATGTCATTCAACCACAAAGCACTATAACTTAATTTGCTATTGTAAGTCACACAGTATACATGAATGTTTGACTGCTCAAACAATAGTTGAATGAACATACTTTAATGTGTAATTAATGCACATGCTGGAACTGGATTAGTCCGTGATTAATCAGCTTGATGTGTCATTGGAACATTGACAGACTTTGAAACTAGTGAATTATTGTATAGTTATTATATACTGAAATTTTCTTTTCTGGAGGAAGGTGTCATTGAAATAGGGATATGTTACACTGAATTAGCCTCATCTCACCCTTTTCACAGGAGAGGCTCATACTGAACCACTCTAGTCTTTTGTCCTAGAGTATATAATTTCAATGAAGAAATTATGTAATTTGCATATCAGTTGCATTTTATCCATATTCAGAAATAATTTTTGTTTTCCAAGTGTACCCTAAAGTATAGGGCACTTCTCTACAAACACATTAACATAAATTACTGTAAAATAACTGAAGTTACATTATTGGTTTTATTTTATTTAAATTATGATAATCTTCCACTTTTTCCCTATTTATTTCCCTATTCTCTATTTATGTATATTTATTTCTGTTTAAGAGAATATCATAACATATTGATCTACAACTACATTTATAAATTTTTGTTGGATGGTGATAGCTTTTTAAGCAATTGAAATGGCTAGACACCTGATATTTGATATAGAATCAGATATTAAATATATGTATTAATCCTCTGTGAAATGTTAGTTTATTGTCAAAAATTACACATTGATGTTGCAACGCCTTGAGGTTATATTGCAAATTTATGAAACTTGTTTAAGACGTGACACAGAAATAGTATACCAGTAGTTCTTATGTTAGATTTTAAGCTCTAACAGCAGCTGTGAAGGCTGTAATCTTCGAGAAGTGATACTCTGTAGTCCGGCAGAAGTTCACCAATTGAAGAAATTCCTGCCTCTATCTTCCGGATAGAAGAGTAAGCAACAATCAGCAAGCTGAGCATACTGGATTACTCTTCAACCCCAAAGATGGAGACAATGTTCCTTCCAGACATCAGTAAGCTTCTACTGGATTGCATAGCATCAAATCGCAGAAGATAATACCACCAGTGTAGTTCTTAATTTTCAGTTCCTACTAGCCTCACCATGTGGCTAGAAATACTTGTAGGAAAATTGGTACTCTTAAGTTTCCCCAGAGCTTCTTTTTAATGTGCTGACCTCCAGTTTGTTTTCTGAAATTGTTTTGCTCATTCTACTGTGGTTCCTTACGTTCTTGTGCCAGGCCTCCGTGTTGGGAGACATGTTGTGTTTTTCACTATTGTGAATTGTCATGATTTCTGATATTCTTTTAGATTAATGTTTGTTAAGGTTCCAACAGAAAATACTGGGCATGCTCCCCAGGGCTTGCATACAGCCAGTAGATACATAGCACATGATGCTGTCATGAAAATGTATTGGTGACTGCCACAGCACAAAGTAAAAAGTGTGTAGGAAATACCTGAAACACTTCTTGGAAATATCTGCACAAATACTATGTCCTCCATGGTCATCAATGTGTTAAAATTGAATAATGATTTTAATATTTTCAATATTGCCACATTAGGCAGATTTCTTATAAATGCAAGGTGCGAGGTGATATGACAGTAACAACAAATAAAGAAAGGAGGTCATTGAATGAGCAGATAAGTTTTCTTCAGTGAAAGTCAGTAAAAACTAACACCAGTTGGTAATACAGCGGGAAGTCTCATCATTTGTTATGCAAGCTTTCATACTCTTCAACGTCTCTTATTTTATCCCTATTCTCCCTATTTTTATTCCATGAATGAATATTATCAACATAATTGGTCATAAGTGTGTAAATTTGTAATGTATTTAATTCAGTTAATATAGGTAATTTAAATAAAATTGTATTAATTCAAGTTTTATAATAAATTATTTTTTAAGTTATCTTATTAAATTTTTTACTATATATTATTATTTATGTTAATTGATTAATCTAAGTGATTTTGATTATGTGACTAGTGTAATTTTGTATATGTATCTTGATATATCTATTTTCAAAGGGACCATTTCCACATCCTAGGTTTGTTACCTGTATGGATATATGGAAAATAAAGGAAAAGGAATGACTGAATGAATGAATGAATGAATTCCTTCCAAGTTGTACATGTTTCTGTGTAGTGAACTGAGCCCAATGTATAATGCCAACTCCCACAAACAGCATGCACAAATAGTCAATTGTAAACTGTCTCCTTGATATAGTATGCTACACCTCCCATTTCTATATCCAAATACTATCAGTACTCACAGAACAGGCATGATAAACTGAGAAAAGAAAAGACTACTTGCTCCTTCATGACTTACTGTGTAACTTAAGTTCATGCAGTATATTTTTACTCAATAGTTTACTGATGTGGTAGCCTGAAATTTTGTAATGACAGTGATATATCTCATGAATACAAAATGTTTATTTGTACATGTGTGTGTGTAATGAAATTGAAGTGTATTTGTGAAACTTAGTATCAGCTAGCTCCTCAGTCTGACGCCCAACACTAATTTTCTATGCAACTTATTACAAACTATGCGCTTTAAAGTATTACACTACATGATTCATTCATTCATACGTTCAACCAATGTGGTCACAGACCCAATTTGGGCCTTGGCCTACCTCCATGAAACTCTCCATTTCACTTTGGTTTACTAGATCTTAAGACATTTGGTAGGACTCCTTGGATGGGTTATCAGCTCGTCGCAAGGTACCTGTACATGAACACAGAAAAACGCACATACATACACAAACAACAAACATCCATGCCCTAAGTGGGATTCAAACCCACGATCCCAGCTTCTGAGCAAGCGAAGACAGTGAATGTCTTAGACTGCTCGGCTACTGTGACTGGCCTATCATTGCTTAGGTTGTTAATATATAGCCCCCTCAGTGCACATGTGTGTGTGTATGTGCAAAGTTGTAGGTTTTGTTCGTTCCTGTTATGTTATGTTATGTTGCATCACTTGTTTTTGAATGCTTCAAATGTATTTATGAAAGTTGATGTTATGAAACCTCTTTGGATACTGAAGTTCATCAAAGTGTGTATGAATCATATATTTATATATAGAGTAAATCCAGATAACCCTTTGAAGCTTTAAATTTACCAAAATACTATTTAAGAGTTCAGTTTATACCTTACACAAAATCCACAGTCTTCATTACAAAGACCAATCAGTTAATGCTGTTAGGGAAATAATCATCTGTTTATTCTCAGAATCATATGAAACCCATACATAAAATCTGTGGCAAAATGTTGAAACAGGTGGTACATGCTTAACCACTGCTTGAGAGAGTTTATTATTAAAATTTCAGATGGTTGATCTATTTCTCGTCTTCAAGACACATGATCTCATGTGAGTTCAATATGCACGCCATCTTGCCATGCTGTCAGGTCTACACTCACAATGAAATTTCTTCACATGTACAGAAATAATATTTCATTAGAAAATGGTCCTTATGTCAGTGGAATATTGATACAAATAAGTGTAGTAATTATAGTCATGTAACAATCTTTGTTTCTTCGTTTATATCTTCTTACAACTGTACATGAAATATTCTCACATCACAATCTGAAGTACACTGGTCGTTTAGTCCATTCACAAAGATTTCTTTAGCTCACTGCACATTCTGTTTGGATTCCCCACCACTCTTCTTTTCCATCTAGTGCCACTACCAATGCATGTGTACTGGTAGTGATGCATCACTCTATGACTTCACTAACATTAAGAAGACAGAATCTAAAAACTTCCCAAAGAATATGAATGTTGAGGAATTAGGCCTGATAGATATGTGACATGTGTTCCAATTTTTCACCAGTTCCTATGAGTACACATCATATCCTGTTTGTACAAGAGGGCTCGTCTCTGGTTCACCCTTATCTTCTTTGCTGGTATTGTAACCAATCTCATGATACCGAATAGGGTATGTAAGCTGATTTCCTTTGTCCCATGTGAACAGTTCCTGTAAGAAAATTAGAGAGTTCATACATATATCAAATTATTAATATAACATGTTTAAGAATAAATGTAAGTTCTACATTACTGCAGAGTACTCTGTTCTGCAGATGCTTGCAATTTCAAGAGGTGAGCATCCACTGCATACTCCCACATGGGATCAGGACAAGTTATAAGTGACCTACTCAGAGCTTTGTAAAGCATAAGTTTAATATTTTTACTTAAACTCCAACTTTTGAATAGATAATAAGTCCTTATGTATGTGCACAAGGTCTTGGATACAGTCCTTTTGATATGGTGTCTCCATGTCATCGTCCCTTCAGAGGTGTCACCGAGATACATTATATTATTTCCAAAGGGAATGTCTCATCCATGTAGTTGTGCCACTGGTCCTCATGATATAACCTCAACGAAGACCCAAAATAAAACACCCCTTCCACAATTCCTCTGTTGCTGCATGATGTCACTTTCAGCACAGACCACATAGAAAACATCATTCCCAGTGATATTCCCGTCAGTTACATTGTGTGGTATGACTTATTTCACTGTTACATTGCTGTTAATTGTGCCATTACCTAGTAACAGTCATCTCTTCTGATTAAACTATTCTGGCTCTCATCAGATATGCCAAAATATCCATAACAAATTGAGCAAGCAGGTGAGGGTAGCGATAACATTCTAGAATTGAATTTGTGTGGTTCCTGTTTCAAATCTCAGTTGGCACACTGGCTATCCTGGCAGATTTTTAATGATTTTTCTCAATCTGTCTAGGCAAATAGTAGGATAGTACCTTGAGTAGGCCACTGCCACTTCCACATTCTTTCCAGTGCATTATTCACTGTCATACTACCATTCAATGCAGGGTAGCCTGAGAGACTGACAGCATTATAAAATAACCAAAAAGAAATAACATTTATGCCTTATAATCCCAGGAGGTGTGGCCCACATAGGAAGCAAATGAGGACTCTCTTGACTGTAAGTGATAAGGCTTTGGTCTCTATAGTGAACGTGAAAACTCAGTAGAATATGAAGGAGAATAGTAAGTATTGTGAGATTAATATGTGAAGTTTTTGTTGCTGGGTAGTTATCTTGGTACTCTTTACAGATATTCTTTCTTAATTCCACTTTATTCATTATTGTAATTGTTGTGCTGTCATCATCACCATACTACTACTACTACTACTACTACTACTACTAGGGGACTAGGGGAGGTCAGATGCTTCTAGGTGTTTGATTTCAATTTCCTGATTCATACTACTACTACTACTACTAATAATAATAATAATAATAATGTGGCATGCCACCAGAAAACCAGAATGATTGAGGAGATTTGAGTTGATTTCCTAGGCAACGAACCGTGTTCTCGCTGCAATGCCTAGGAATTGGAACAATGGCTGGCAATAACCACGCAACGAGTTGTTTGAAGTAGCTTTTTGATAGCAGTGGACGAGGTTAACCCTTCAACATGGTATTCCCTATTGGGCTGGAGTGCAAGTTACAAGAGTCCAACTCTGACAAGAGACTATTTTAGTTTGTATCTGACCTTAGAAAAGTTGAATTGGTATTTGACAAAAGAACAAAAGAGTTCTCATCTGACTAGAGCAGCATACACTTTGCCAAGAATAGCTGTGCGAGAGTATCATAACATCAAAGAAGAAACGTCTAAAGGATGTTATAAGTTGTGAATAAGTGTACTTGAGAGTGTAAAAGTGACTGTCCAATAAATATACATTCAAATCCAAAACCCACACAATTTCTTGTCATGTTGCCTAGCAAACAAGCGACGACGATGACAACGACGACGACAATAACAATACATTCCATTCTTTTCTAGTTAGGACAAACTTGTAAGAAAATTCCTGTGAGTTATTCTTAGCAACCATAGTGCAGCTAGGATTTCAGTCTCAAAAATTGTAACAGTGACAGCATTATCATTACCTTCAACAGAGTGTGTATGTTTGTGCTGGGAGGGGACACAAGATTCCATGAACCTTCATAACATGTGAACAGGCAATTTTATATCTCCCAGTAGAGTAACGTTTTTAGTATTGAAAAATGCCAATCCCTGGTTGGTTGGATATTGTTCATGTGCTGTTACAATAGTTCAGTGTATGGCCAATAAAGATTAACATTGAAACTACATATAACTTGTGCCAGCATGAAACTGGGGGAAAAAATAAAAAAACTTGATATTTACTTACTTTGTTTTTATGGTTATAGCCAACCATTGTAGTCCCCCGGAATGGATTGGTGAATGGAAGATTTACATCAAGCAGTTGATTCTTGTACAGATCCAGGGCAAACCTGTGTATTCATAACATTCAGATATAGTCATATTATCTGAAATGTTATAATATATCTGTATGTGTCTTTCACTTCAAGCTTTAGCCAGCAAGATCTCAAGAAAGGTAGAAAGACCAATTTGTACCAGTCATTAACGCTTTCCTTGCATGAGAAGTGAAGCTTTCAAAGTGGTTAAAATCATACACTGTTTTGGGCAACAAGTTGTGTCACTTCAAAATCCAGAATTTCAAAGATCTTAGAGAACGCCTCTTTCTCCATCATTGGGGATTCCCAGGGTCACCAAAGATTTTACCATATTTGGTGTAGATTGGATAGTTGTAATTTAAGTTGTTAATGTTAATGAACTTAAACTTAGAAAGTGCTGAGGTCTCTTTACTCAAGTACAGAATTCTTAATAAGAGATTTTCTTTTTACTAAGTTTATAGTCTTATAACTATTTCTTGTTAATGGGATGTTCATCGTTAGGCACATAACAAAGGAGACAATTTCATTTCATTCATATATTTTATCAAAATCCATGACTTAAACTGAGGATCGCACAGCAACTATCAAATGAAACTCAAGACTGTCTCTGAAATCAGCTGTACATATGACTGTCAGAGTACACAACCTCCTGCACCTGTCTCACATGATACTATGCAGTGCTATCCACTGTGTGTACATACTTTCAGTGCTTTGTGTCCATCCTTAAACCTATGATGCTGATCAAACATACTGGATCAGGTTATTCAAGGCATTTCCAGTGTTCCCATCACTGATTTTCCAAGTTTCTGGTAAAATTTTATATTAACATACTACTGCACAGAACTGTAAGGCTTCTTATTTTGGACTCTATCCATCATCTGGTGTCTGACGACACCGTCGTCAGAATCCTTTCAAGTCTATTTACTCATAATCTATTTATCCTCTTCATAAACCTTGTAAGCACTACATGGGAACCTGTTGTGCCTGTTAGTCTAATGGAAACTGAAAAATTCCATTGTGTATAGGTTACATAGATGTGTGACAATACCTGAGTAGGATCTAGACTACCTGCCAGAATGTCATTCTTTTTCTTTTTTCCAGAATGGTTTTCAGCTACTACCTATGTGTAGGTAGGGAAACCCCCATTTAGTGTTCCTCAATTTAAGATTTTTGCTTGTTTAGCACTGAATTTCAAAATCCCTAATCAGTAATCTCAATGTTAAATAAACTGCATTTAAGATCTTCCTCACTTTCTGTGTTCAAATCCGCTGGTTCTTGAAGAGACAATATATAGTGGCTTCACTGTGTATATGTCCCTGCTACTGGAAGAATTGAGAGTAATAAGGAAAATCGAAGAGGAAAAGAGTGAATGTAGATACAGGGGATGTTATTATGGGTGGCTGGAAAAGAATAGGAAACTGTCATAAGTTGAACAGATTTATGGATGTGTCCATGTATGTTATGTTGCCCATGCTTTGGACCACTACTAGTTTTATTATGGCAATAATTCAGCTTTTATCTTTTGAGTAAATCACAAATACATCACCGAAAAGCTATCATGCTGAAATTATATTACCTTATTTTGGAGTTCCTTTCAGTGATGGAATCAACAGCATAGAGTACACCACAAGCCACAAACATTTCGCCAAATAGATGGTTGTTGATGCTTATATTCCACATATATTCTGTCTCCATCTTGTGATCAGTGTTCACCTTCATGACTACAGTATGATTGGTGCTGGGTATGCCATATATAACCCACAGTCCATTCTCATCTACAGAGAAGTCCATATAGTTGTAATTTGTAGTGTAGAGGTAGTTGTTGCCTTTGGTGGCCACCATTGGCACATTTAGCACATGAGTGTTCTTGGTCGCAAGAACATACTTCCGTATATGTGGATTGTTGAGTTCATTGTAGTAGAATGATCCATTGTATATGACATGTGCATTGCCCTGCATGGAAGAGTTACCTTCATTATGTAGTGATGTCAGAAACTTACTTATAAGCATGTCCTATCATGATGGAGAGAATTATCAAGCAGAACATCCTCTCCTGGAGACATGGGTCATGACCACCTCATGGTAGATCCTAACATACACAGTGTGTCCAGGATCCGTTAGGACTCATATTTTAAATTTTTCCCTGCAATGCCATCTGTTGGCGAGTTGTGGCATTAAGATTCTTGAAGTTTCAGCTGTGGCTGTCTGTAATTTCAAAGCGCAAGCATTGCTGCATCATGTGTTCTGGCCTTGAATGTAACAGTACTGTTCTGACGCTCATCGGAAAGTGGCGGGTAACAGAGAGCCAACATCAAATTTTGTTTGAAGTTAGGCAAAACAGCTGAAGAAGCGTACAAAATTATGAAAAGTGTGTATAGTAGTGATTGTTTGAGTCGCTTGAACATTTTTCGATGGTATGTTGTATTTCGTGACGGCATAGAGGAAATTGAAGACGCTCCACATGCATCAAAGCCTAGAACAAGTTGCACTGAAGAAAATGTGAAAAAAGTGACCGAAATCCTTGCATCAGACAGATGCATTTCTGCAAAACTCATCGAGGAGCTTTTGGGGAATACCAAAAAGTACTGTGCATCAAATTTTGACTGAGGATTTGGGCAAATGGAAGGTCTGTTTGTGGTTTGTACCGCACACGCTGTCAGGTGATGAAAAACATGCCAGAGTGGAACACTGCAAAGACATGTTACGGTCGGCCCAAAGTGATACAAAATTTACATAATCAATTGTTACTGGTGATGAGACATGATGTTTTCAATATGAGCCTCTCACAAAGCGGCAGAGTGCAGCGTGATTGAGTCCAAAGAAGATGAAACCAAAGAAAGTGCGCATGCAAAAGAGTCGAGTAAAGACACTGCTAACCGTTTTCTTCGACTCCAAAGGAATCACTCACAAGGAATTTCTGCCAGAAGGTCAAACAGTGAATTCTCATTATTATATCAGAGTCCTCAATTGTTTGTGGGCAAGAATTCTTCAAATTCGACCTGAATATTGAGGGCAAGGTTCCTGGTAACTCCTCCACAACAATGCCCCACCCCACAAATCAAAGATCGTGCATATTTTTTGGCCAGAGAAGGGATCACAGTCCTTGATCATCCTCCATATTCGCCAGATTTGGCTCCAGCAGATCTCTGGCTGTTCCCACAAGTTAAGTTGTCGATGAAAGGAGACCATTACAACACCATTCAGGACATCCAAAGGGAATGTACCACAGTTTTAAATGCGATTCCACAAAAGGAGTACAGTGTCTGTTTTTCAATCGATTCCAGCTATGTATTGATTCAGAAGGAGATTATTTTGAATAAAATGAGTGAAATTTTGAAAATAATTCATGTCTTGTATTTTTAATGAACCCATTCCTAACAGAACCTGGACACACTGTACTTTCCAATCATCATCATCATCATCATCATCATCCCACCTCTGCTCTTATATTAATCTCTGCAGTTTGAAGCACATGATGAAATAATATAAGTATCAGTTAACCAGTCATGGACAAAGCCTTCTAAGGTTAACTTTAAAAGTGAACAAAAGAAGATAATATGCCATAAAACCTGTTTTGCCATTACAACAGATATATACATCTGAAAATGGGTCATACAACTGGAAAGGAATCTAAATAATTTATGATAAGTTTTATTATCTCATTAAACTACTTGAATTTTAATTGTGAATATAAGCTTCTCATTGTCAGTTTGCAAATATCCTATATGTGAAATAATAGAAGCAGATATTTTGAAAACAGAAGTGCAACTGTAATGTCGATTTAAGTATGTTTGTGTTTCCTGCCACTCTTTCAGCTTTTCAGGGACTATTTGCATAATCTAGTCAAATAAGGGGTTACAGAGACCTTCATCTGAACTCCTCCCTCTAAAACTTGTTTCCTTCATGCAAACTTTGTTCTTTGTTATGTACCTCCACTTCTGACCTTAATGGAATCTGTTTGGCAAATATGTAGGGATCTGCTTCTGAGATTAGAGTGTCAGACTTATTATCAGTGATAGGATTACAGCTAGCAGAGGTTGCTAGCAGTGTAATGTGAAATTCTGAACCCTAGTCGGACCCTAATATCTTTGTCCTTTAATTCAAAAAGTTTTGACTAAGTCTTAGATATGAGGTAGGCAAGGTACACAGAAATATCTGTGCTGCATTTGTCCAGTTCTTATAACAACAAATCCCCTATTTAATAAACTGAAGAGTATCATGACAATGTGTTAAAAAAGTGGATTGAAAAAGGTTCTCAGAACTAATAATTAAATTGGACACTATCATGCACTATTAGCAGTTTATCTTTACCCTAAGGTAAGAGCTGATGTGAATAATACTGTGTTCATAATGTTGACTCCTTACAGTTATGTATCTAAAAAAAACACTTTCATTTCATGTTTGAGAAAACTGGAGAAGGCAAGAGATAGATCAGTTACTCATAATCAGGGTCAGGATTTTGATGACATGTCATCTTTTTTTCCTTGTATCTTATGTGATGCTCTTAAATATATAAATCTTGGATATGAGCTGCTGGTTACAGAAATGTAAGTTTTATAGGTAATTTTCTGTCATTTTCTGACATTTTTAGGTTTAGGGTAATTTTTTGGTAAATTTTTGGGCTTTTAAGGGCATTTCTTGTCATTTTAGGGAATTTTTATTCATATGTTTCCTGAAATGTGAATAATATGGAAACGAAGTGTTCTTTCTCTTTCTCCTTCAGGTCATTTTTCTGGATTTTTTCTGTCAATTTTTAAATATTTTCAGATCATCAAAACCTGGGCCCTGCATATTACATTTTTAGGTCATATTTTTGGATTTTTTTCGGTCATTTTATAGGTCATTTTTTAAATATTTTCAGGTCATCAAAATCCGGGCCCTGCTCATAATCCATGTTGGTAAGAAGTCAGCACAGAATGCAGTCAAGGCTTATGTTAAGGAAGTTCCCCAGTAATTTCTTAGAAGGAATGGAGAAACACATGAAAATCCTCAGTCAGAAAGAATAATTGGTTTCCAGGGTAAAATTTGATCTGGGTATATCCAATATAAAAAACAGGCAGAATAACTCCTTGCGCCATAATGTTCAGTGAATATATTTTAAGTGATTGATACAAAAAAATATTTATGTAATACATAGCACAATAATAAACTTTCAGATTCCATAAATTTCCAAGAATTTCTTGACCAGCTGAGAAAATATTAATTTCTCAAGAACTTTATTCCAGGAATAGGATATGCTTGTGCTGTGCCATTAAAATTTACTGACCCTGATGCAATCTCTGCAGTTTCTTTAACAGTTCTGTCTCCTGCCTTAGTTGAGGCAAAGTATGCAAAATTTTTATTCTTGAACCGAATAATGATATTTATACACTGGGGCATAACTGTTTTTGAAACGTCAATGTTGTAACTGGTTCTTCAGTATTTCTTATTATGTATAAGTGTACAAGTGTACTCTTTACTGCATGGACAGTATTCCATGCTTCTTAGAGCACATATACTTTCATATTTTGAATTCTCAGAATTTTCAATTTATGTATGAGGCATGCACATATTGTTCATATTATATCCTTCACGTAACACTGTCGAGTGTTACCTTAAATGGGTGGTCCAGTGTGTATGTAACACTTGGTGTTCCAGCTCGAAACAGGGTCTTGTTTTCATATTCATACAAGTGGTATGGATCACTCTCATTCGTGAACCAGAATTTCTGGCCACCAGTTTCGGTAGAAGGCTGAGGATCTCGCATCCAGCTTCCATAGGACATATTTGTATACCGATGGTACACTGGCTTCCCTACTGCATATAATTGGCAGTCTGAAAAAAGAAGGAATATGTAATTACAATATATCACTCATGTCTATATAAGAATCCTTCATTGCACTGATTTAGCTTTTGGTCTGATGGTCACAACCAATGAATCATCTGAGCTAGGCATGTGGCATTTACATTGTACACATTGTAGAGGGTGACTGAAAAGGAACTTCTTGGTTTCAAGGCTTAATATGTCATTTAATATTCAACTAATACTCATGGGGTTTGTTGTGATATATTCAGCAACACACAAATGTCTGTGCCTTGCTTGCTGTATGTGCTCATTTGACTCTTGCAGCGCCAGTAAAATTGTGTTCCTAACATAGTGAATACAATGGCATCCATTCAGAAGAGAGTGCATTATGTTGTAGGGTTTCCCAAGTTCAAGTCCATTGTATCTGTTTAACATAATTTTTTATATACCTATTGAAGAGATTCTTCAAGTTCCAAATAGGTTCATCACTGATTTATTCAATTTAAGGAAACATGAATAATGTTAAAACAAAAATCTCTGTGAAGACTGTGGATTTCTGAAGAGTGCATTAAATTCATAAGGTTATTATGTGTATGGAGTCCAAAAGTCATCTGTTATCACTGCTTGTACCTTGTTAGGCCCAGGAAACGCAGTTCAGAAGGTGTTACTACAGTGGCTGAGAATATATGATTACATGCTTACAAAAAAACTAAAGCATGAAATCAGAGACACTGATCCTCCACCAAAATGAGACGAATAACAACATTTTAAGCAATGTTATAGATTCATGATCTTGAGGTGTTTGGTTCAGAATCCAGCTGGGGCACCAGCTATCCTGAGAGGTTTCTCATGGTTATCTACAGGTCCTTCAGGTAAAAGCTAGGACCATAACCACGTCTTCCTAGTTCTCTTCCAGTTTATCAATACCATTTGTCATGATACTGACAGTGTCATAAAATCATAACCCCCACCTCCCACCCAAGTCACCTGTAACAGAGAATATGGTGCTGCTGTAGCAACAATAATTATGGACATGCTACAGAGTACCTGGAATGAAAATGAATACTGCTTGGATGTCTGATGGGCTACAAACATTGCTCACACTAACGCTTATTAAAAACATTAGGAAACTTTCAGGGTCCTTCCAGATATTAAAAAAGGTACTTCACTCTGAATCCATTTGTCATGAATCATCACATAATGAAATTAGGGAGTTCTGTTTCAGTGACTCTGAATATGAAATATTTTTTCAAGTCAACAGTTCAAAATGTGATGGTGGTGTAAAGCTTTGACACTAAATTAAAAAAAATTAGCATATGCAGAATCTGTTCTGAATTAATGAGTTCTTCACAGATGTAAAATAAAGCAGTAACAGTAGCAGCAATAATGATGATAGTAATGATAGTAATAATAGATCTGTAGAACTAGAACTGTATGGAATAAGACATTAGGGTTTATAATTTCTGCTAAGAACCTCTTGTTATAAATACTAAATAACATAGGCAGTTCTGTATTAATTTGTATACATGTAATTTGGAAAAGTATATACAAGAGACTGTTAATTCACAAATTCTGTACAAAGCACTCAGAATCATATAACTTTTTCATTTTACTGCTGATTTTAAATTCAGGTGTTGACTGAGTGTGGTTCTGAAGTTTTCATGGATGTGTGTGTTAGCCCTCAATTGCTTCAAAAGTTTCAGTTACAGACATTAAGTATACTCATTCTTTATTGTTGTTTCTATTTGTCCTAAAATGTAGTGCAAGAAACAAAGCCCTTCTTTCCTTTCTTAATTTTTCAGCAAGTAGAGCACTTCAATCTTCCAGAATTACTGATTGCCCAATGGGAATTTGTTCTTAACAAAACTGCATAAGCCATTGGCAGGAAGTTTTTAGCATTGGCTCCAGAAATTCTTTTTGAACCCTATCTTGTGTTAATTTTTCAGGATATTGTGCATTTTTTCTGTAGTCCCCATGACTACTTTATCAAATCTAAGTTCAAATGCCGTTTCCTTTTATAGCGTCACATTGATATGTCTAACACATCGTTTCACACTTCCATTCTAAAGACAGTTCAAGGTTTCCTTTCATCAGTTTCTTGAAATACAGCCTAAGAAATTACTAAACTCATTTATTCATATCTGCACAGTAACCATTTATTATATTCAATGACATTTCACCTGCAACTAATGAATAAAAATTATGTACGAGTAAATTTTCAACTAACATGTACAAGCTCTGGAACTCTCTTTTTGTATGTGTCTATGACAGGAGGAGTGAAATTACATATCAAAACAGTCCAATATATCACCTTCAAATTGGTCTCATTTCCCTGTACATGGTAATTCCAGCAGTTCTGTCACTTCCACAAGCACATCTAGACTTTTCTGGAATGAGAGTTTATTTCCACATGATATCTCTTGTGATGTTGTCCAGTACTGCCAGAAGTGGCTTTTCTTTTTGGGTTCTCTTCAGTTTAGAGAACAGAAAGAAATTGACTCATATTGTCATGTGTCGGGGGTACATGTGGCGAAAATAATGGGTTCTAGATTGAATGATTGGATTTACTGGCACTTCAGTTACAAACTCTCTTGAGTACAATTAATACGATGCGATCGCTGATTTAAACAATTTACAGTTCACCATTGCACCCGCATTAGGATTCTCAGTTTCCATTACTCATCTCCTAGCAATGGATCTCAGCACAGTAACTAGCACTTCAGATCACTATGCAGTCTTTTTGTCATTTCTTATTCAATCAACCTGGAACCTCGGAACCCAACTAAAACTCCATCTATCACTAACTCCTCCAGCTTACAGCTGCCTGCAAATGACCTTTGTTGTTCCCTATATACCTTCAGCACTGACCTACAGAAAACACATCATGTGGTCGCTATCCACTGGTGTATGACTTCACTACCTACGCGAAAGTGTGTTTACCAAGCCATTGCCTTGAAATTGGTTGCATAACGCCACTGTTCTATTGTTGCAATCATGCATTATTTAGCAATGGCCATTCCTGTGTCTCAGTAGTTCTTGCATGGAGTAAATACAGCACAGTATCAAACATGGTGAACTTGATGGGTGAGCAGTCAGTGGATTAGGGTGCTTGGCCAACAATTCCATTATGGATTGTATCTTGTTGCAAAAGCAATACAGATCTTAATGGAGATTATTGTTTAATTTTCATCTCAAATTGGAGAGGCTTTTTATAGTGATGTTTGATGTTTCTCTGTCAGGGAAATTGTGTTTTATAAGCTACAGCAGTTCTTTCCACTTCATGTCACTTCAGTGTCAAATATTGTTGTCATGTACCATAAATGGATTTTTTATGAATGTTGTTCTTCCGAAACACATTATTCTCTTTCCTCGTTTGGAGTTTTTATTTCAATAGATTCCTCATTTTAACACTTCTTAACTTTCCTTCAGTCCACTTCACTTCCTGCAAGTTCCTTTCTTCCATTATTGTATAAAATTGTGGAAAGGGCCACTGAAATTCAATGTGGAGCTATTTCTTTCACTTCTTCATCCTATACACCATTCTTCCTTTTCTCTATTTATTTCATAAATTTATTTCATGCTGTCTTTTCTCTGGTTAACCATGAAATAAGTTAATTTCTTTATCCTTCTTATGGCACAGTTTTGGATATATAGTGGCGGTCTGTGCAAGTACATGAAACTACAACAGGATGAGAATGACATAACATACACACATAATCAGATACTCATATTATATAAACACAACCATTAATTGTGTCCTATTATACGTATAGTTCCACAGTAACTACTGTTTTTGATATTTTCTTCCATATTTTCCAGTTGGTGGCTAGTGAATTGTTTGTATTCTCCAGTTTTTTCCTTATGTACATATCTTTGAAATATCTTCTGTTTTCCACACATTGTTCTGTTTTACATCTATTATTTCCCTCCCTCTGTGTTTCACACTGAATTTCTCCTCATATGCATAAACCATAAATATCTGCTGAAAAATTAATTGAAAGAGAAATGAAACACAAGACCTATTGCACTACATGTTAAAAGAATTTGGTATATTGCACACCTAAAATATTGTGCCACCATTTAGAAGGAAAAAGTTTAATGTTTTACTGTATTTCCTTGATTTTAAGACACTATCTCCATTTTAAAACTTCTGAAATTTCATTGCACCTTACATTTGATGGTGCCTAAGATTTAAAAGGTAAAAAACTTATATTCACAACATTTGTCACTGGAGAGTAAATATGAAGATAGCAATAAAAGATATTCTAAAGTATTTCTGTGTATTTCTATTGTTAAATGTGTCATTGTATGTGACAATATGTAAAGCATCAGAAGGAGGCTTGGGAACCATTAATACCAAGTAGTTTTAATTTTAACTAATAGTCTACAATGAAGATAAATCATAGTGTTCACTGTAACACCTGTGCTTATTACTGCGTTTTAAAAACCCTTCTTAAAATTAACATTTTGGAAGGGAATTGTGGGGTGGGTATGTTTGGTATTGTTAAACATTCAGTTATCTCATTCAGCTACTGGATATGCTTAGTGCTGCATGTGAATGTATTTTAATTCTTATGTGAAATTCCAACCCCAAATACTGTAGGTAATTTCCATTTTACAGTATCTTCGGAATGCTTCCATTATGTCATGGGTTTTAAAACAAAATCAATTGTACATCCTGCAAATGAGACTGTGATATTTCCTGAAAACCTGTTACTAAACAAAGGGTGCAGCTTGCAGTCAGTGGTGTCTTAGGGTCAAGGAAATACAGTATTTGGGAGCCAAAGTTGTTTCTGGTTAATAGGATAACATTTTTCTGCTAAACATTAGTTATGCCCTTAGTAGCTAGTATACCTGAATTGATATACATAGTACAAAACTTCAAATATCCTCCATTCAGAATTTTTGTTCTTCAGCTATAGTGTTTTTCTGTAGTGTCAGAAGTATGGATTATAGCAATAACTTATTTGAACTGACGTTCAGGATGATAATAAAGTAGGCAGTTTTGCATTATGACAGTGTTATGTCATAGAGTAAAACCATTCACAGTCAGATTTCCTGACAGGAGTGAATGGGAAGATATAGGTTTCGGCCTGGCAGAAAAGGGGGACTGATCTGGTATACAGATGGTTCCAAGATCAAACAGATCAACTCAAAATTGGTCTAGGATTGCCACCAAACTCATGGAACTGGCCAAATATAATAGGGTACAACTGATATGGGTGCCAGGGCATGAGGGCATTGCTGGAAATGAAATATCAGACCAATTGGCCAAGACTGAAACTGAACATCCAGTCATAGGACCTGAACCAGCCTGTGGCATCTCTATAGGAGTTGCCAGAAAGGCAATCATGGACTGGACAAATATGAATCACAAGAAATACTGGGGATCCTTAGCTGGACTCAGGCAAGCAAAGGGACTCATATGAGGACCCTCTACTAAAAGAGCGAAGGAACTGTTGAAGTTAAATAGGAACCAGCTACAGTGGGTGGTAGGACTACTTACAGGACACTTGTCACCTCAAAGGACACCTCTTCAAATTTAGACTAAGTAACAGTCCAACTTGCGAGAGGTGTCAAGAAGAAAACGAAACAGCCACACATACCCTGTGCGAATGTGAGGCCTTAGCTTATTTAAGATTATGCCACTTCAGTCAATATTTTACAGAACCAAGTGACTATTTTGACATCCCCACATAGAAGATCCTATGCTTCATCTGAAGTGCAGGATTGTTGAGGGGATAATCAGAAGGGGAGGCACAATAGATCACTGTGGTCACGGTGCAACGGCCAAGAAGGTCAAACCTTTATACATCCATTCATTCATTCATGTCATAGAGTATTAGGTTAGGGAAAAAATTACTTTAAAGATTCATCAGTAGTTGATTGTAGTGATTAAGGAGTTATAAACTTGTCACCTACTAATATATTGTGACATTGCCAGGCAACAGCTCGATAAACACCCCACAATACACATAAGCAAGAGTAGATCAGGCTGGGTTTTCTGTGTGTCTGGCAGATGGCGCAGGAGCAGTGATATCACACATCAAAAGTAAGTGTCCATCACATGACGTGTGTTTCCTGTGTGTCCGTCAGATTACACATGTGCGGTGATGTCTCACAGCAAGAATGGCTAGGAGTCATGTGATATGGGTTTACTGTTGGTCAGCGTCTGTCCCTCAGCTATATAATTGAGCAGAATCCCTGAGCTGGCAGAGAGAAATGGCAGTGGAGGAATCACGCAAATGGAGAAAAGACCAGGAGGGTTCAGCAGTTGAGAGTACAATGAAGAGAATGGAGCATGAATTGTGAAGATCGAGTACAGATTAGGACAAGGGAACAGAGTGATTGAAGACAAGAAGCCTTCATAGTGATTTGAAGTGGAAGTGTCTGTGTTGTGATCCGTTGCTAGGAGACAGCTATTGAAAACGGAATCCTAGGGCCTGTGCAACAGTGAATTGGAAAGTGTGTAAATCAGTGATAGCACCATATTGCCTGTATTTAAAAGTAATTAAGAGAGAGTGTGTAACCGAAGTACTAATAAAATCAATCATCCGAACTAGAACCCGTTATTTTGTCATGTGTACCACCCTGCACTTAATAATACTGAACGATTTGTGGATTTCTGGAAATGTCAGAAGTCTTCTTGATGGTGCACCACACAGTAAGCCTGTAGAGACGTGTATCCTATAACACTTTATGTTCTTGAGAAAATGGAATTTAGATTTGGTTCAGCACCTGTGGTTTACCTACTAGCAATTTTCATCCATCTCAGACACTGAAGGAGTCAGCAGGTGATTACAAGCATGACAGAGGGGGCCAGGGATTTTTCTGTAATTTCCTGTGGTAGCTTATATCTTTCCCTGTGCATGTGGGTTTATGAAGTTCATACCATGATATATTAAATGTGTGGACTGATGGCCGAGAATGTAGGCAAATAGAATTGCACAAACTTCTGCTACTTGTTCCCAGTGTACAAATGAAGTACTGCAATTCGTTGTATACTGCCATATCTTGTAAAGTACACATATTATACCTAACTGATAGTATTAAATTAGAGTATTATATTCTACACATACATACCGAGAATCCGAGCAGGAATGCCTTTGTATGTTTCATTACCAAATGGTTTGATCTCCATCCTTCCTATCAAATGGAAGAGTGAAATGCCCCCATCATGACATTTAAACTCTGTTGGAGCAGGGCATTCAGGGCAAGACGGTGGAGGACAGAGGTCGTCCAGGTCTACTGGTTTAGGGGGACCCTCCCCATATGTCACTTCACCTTGTCCGCTGATCTGCACAGTTGGTGGTGTAGCTAATCTTGGATCTATTTCTGTAATGGGTTACATTTCAAAGTTAATTTTCTGACAGAATTATTACTCTAATGTTGCATGTGTTTTTCTTTGTTAGAAAACTGCATAACATACTCAGTATCTGTTGTCAGCTGCATAAGTTATATAGCAATGAATAAAGAAAAAGGAGAAATTTCGTTCAGATTGGGTGATCTGGCAGAGGGAATTTGAACTAGATGCCCACCAGTCACTACACCATAATATTAGATTATATTGAAAATACTGAATGTTACTTTGTGTTAAATTATCTTTTGAATTAGCTGGTTGATATAACAAAAAACTTAGAATTTTTCTTTCCTACTTTTCACCTCAAAACACTTTATGCATCCCATTACACTGTTCATTGACACTGAAAGCTAAGGCCCCATAGAAAAATCTGGAGGTTCTGAAAGCAGGATGGATGTACTGATGATAATGAATGATGGTGAGACTGATGAAATGAATGGCACAGTGCTGCAAAAGTATCCCAGGGGAGCCTTCTTAGCACTAAGTGTTTAGTTTCATGGAGAGTTACTGGAAATATATTAATTCATCATACTGACTTTAATAATAATTCAATTCAATTCTTTATTATTTATGTGCCTAGTCAACAGCCGCAAGGCCAATTACAGACACAGCACAGTGTAGATACAATTAATTAAATTATGGACAATCACAACATAAAGTCAAAGACAAATTACAGGCAAGCACTGGAAGAAAAATGCATTAATGCAGACATGTGTAGGTACACAACACACAACGCACAGCAATAATCCAACTACAAGCCAATACAACCTCAAGACATCTCCCAACATCGGGATAAATTAAGAAGCAGCCTAACATTTTTATATTTTACTTTAAAAGTCTTAAACTTTTAAATATTTTTTAAATATTTTAATAGTGATGTTTTAACGCGAGGGCAACTTCGGATGGAATGCGGAGGTTGAACGTGCATTCTGTACGTGCATTCAGTACTCCAAGCTAGTGTTGTGCTTTTACACATCGACATTTGTAGCAGTGCCCACACAGCATATATACTGTGTACAGTTAAACAACGCCAGTGTTTTCTTGTTAGTACCATGTGCCTCTGAAGATGGTTTTACTAAAACCGAAACATGTAAGGCAAGAGTGAGAAAGAAGTGACCTAAAAAACATTGTTACACTCAACGGACTTTGTATTGATTTTAAATTACTCACCTTTTGTACAAAAATTAATTGTAAGAAAAATGATACCCATTAATCATGAAGAGGTACTTCAATTTTTGACAAGGGGTTGTTGAGATTAAACTGATTTTAAATGTGAATTAAAGAAACTCAGTTTTCATTCTTTACATGGTAAAATTTATAACAATTAAGACATATGATTATACAGGATTATGATGAATTGTTGATATTTCATTTTGTTAGGGTTCCTTGTAATGACATTTTAATGAACTAGTTACAAATTCGAAATAATAAAATCTAAAGCAACTTACCAAACATTGTGAAGATGCCTTTAGTAATTCCCATTTCATTCTTTGCTATGCAATGGTATGGTCCAAAATCTGCTGGTCCAACATTTGTAATGGTGAGTTGCATATGAACCTGAAAATTTAAATTGGTACTGTTCACAGTATCTGTCGTTGTTTTGGAAATCTGTTGTTTGACTCTACAGACCACAATCAAATTGTTTCATAGTAACTAATCATTTTCAAAGAGACGTTTAACCTTCTGTAATATTCATGTACTGGTCAAATTTCGGAAGACTTCCATCATCAACTTTCGAATTTACCGCCTTGTTATGAGCATCCTCAGTGTCTTTATATTTTTAGACAGTCTTTCTGGTAGTTTGGAGGAATACTAATAGATGGCAGGAGATTTCATATAGTCTTGCATAGCATGCATTCTCCATGGTTCTCCGAAATATAAATGAACTGCCATGCCTTCGTGTCAATAAACCATATGAGAGCAGGACACACCAGTCTTAAAGCAAGCCTAAACAGGTTTAACATTGTGTCCACTGCCGAATGCAAATGTGGTGATGGGCTGCAAACAGAGGAACATATCTTCTGGGATTGTAAATGGTACGAGGACCTAAGGGCTACAATGATGGACATTCTGTCTGAGAACAGCAAAAAAGAATACCGAAAGTCAGTTACAGAGCTTTTAAAGCTAGAAGAAAAAAGATTTCTGCAAGGGGTCTGTTACTGCATAAACAACATTCTTATATTTATATAAAACAGATATGTAAGAAAAGTATAAGAAGTAATTGTACAGATTATTGACAGGATACTCTCAGATTTTAGTTAAGTATATGCAGAATCGAAGGGACACCTCTGTAATAGAATCTGATGTCTATAACAATGTACTGCAGAAGGCTGGATGGGCTTTGGCTAGGCCATTTTTGTACTTACAATCATTTTTTCCACAATAAAAAGAGAACAGCATGTGTGCACTTTGTTTTATAAATGTTTGCCTATGGTAGCTTCTAGGTGTGAGTAAGGTGGAAATAAAAGTTTTGGGAAAGGGATAAATATGGCTTAATTATGAAACACGTGCTATTTATTCGGACATATGTTATTTTATTACCAGTTGTTCTTATAACTGACTCTGTGTTACTGTATTTTGTGTGTAGGGAGTCCCATGCCATTCAAAAATTGTTTCAAGTGTGTTGTATACAAGAGAAACATTAATGTAATTTCCATGGTGCATTGAGAAGTTGGCTGATCAGAGTGGCCATGCAGTGTAAGGCATGAAATGTCTTCGTTTACTCAAACAATAAGACGTGGGTTCGAATCCCACTCAAGATATGGATGTCTGTCTGCCTTTATTCTGTATTTGTGTTCCCTGTGTAAGTAGCGAGCATGCAATGGGCTGATCCCCCGTCCAAGGACTCCAACCTACTGTCTAAAATTAAGAGCCTGAAGTGAAACAAAGCTTTTCACGGATGCCTTATGATCCAAGTGGGAGCAACAGGAATAAAGATGGATGGATGGATGGGTGGGTGGGTGGATGGATGGATAAAAATTCTGGTTTATGGAGTCCAAAATTTCATTGCAATGTTCATGAAATCCTAATACTGGACCCACCCTGGGGCAAGTTTACCAAGGAGTTTTTAGTTTTTATATTTATTAATTGAACTTGATCAATACTATAATACCTATGTTAGTTTTATTTCACATTTAGATATATGTGAGTAATTTAAATTTTATCTGAAAATCCTCACTGGCAAGCCAGTTGGGGAACGTCTGTGGAAGGAATCGTCTTTTGCCTTTGGAAGGAAAGGAAACATGTTATTGAAGCTTAATTAATTATTTTCATGCTGGAAGAAGAACTGTGTTACAATTGTCTATATTCTTAGTGAAGGGATAAGAACATTGTAAACTTAGAATGAACAGGGTGTGATGCTCTCTCAAAATTAGATTACCAAAGAGTTAGCTCACTCTGAATTCCACATTTAATCCCATTAATTTAATTATGGTACACCCTTTTTATAATTCAATGATTAAATGTGACACTCAAATCACCTTGTATCGGCCATTTTCATTGTAGGTCATATGATACTTGTCTCCAGATTCCAGTAGTCGGCCATCGCCTCTTTCCCAGTAACGTACTGCCTCAGGAAAAGCCTCAACGTCACATTTCAGGACTCCTGATGATCCATTTGCAACTCCCACTAGTTGGTTCTGGATTCGAATAAGCGGTGGAACTATTGGCATGAAGAATAAATATGGTAAAGTCTGAATGTTGTCTGAATAAGGATATTCAGTTTCATTTGACACCTCCTGTAACTGCATAATTATGCTGTACAGAATACAGTAGCAGGTTTTCAGCTAAAGTCTGTTATGGCTACATATAATTTTGAGTAATATTTTTATTTGGATGTCCCAAAATATAAAGGAGCTGCAATGGATATACTAAGACATTTAGACAACTTGCTGTAAGGAGTAGGATTCATGGGAAGCTACTAGTTGTTCATCTAAGTAAAGTGCCTATTATGGAGCCTGAAGATCTATTACCATATTCACCAATGGACTCTGTAGTAAACAAGAGGAGTACTTTCATGCCTTAATTTTTCTAAGATCTTTTTAAATATTATGGTGTATGGTCCTGTTGATAGGCAAAGACCTTGAAATAAACAATGAGAAAACAGCCCTTGCTATGCAACGGTGGGGTAAACACTCCTGTACAACAATAGAGTTACTGCTGGGAAAGGTGTTATCTTCAAGACAATTGGGGTGACCGAGTTATTTGTCAGTTTCAGTTGAGAGTTCAGTTCTACACAGGAGGCTGTGAAGATAGAACCTAATAGCCTGAAGCTGAAAAATCTCCACTGTTAGAAGCCGTTTCTAGAGAATGGCTGATGAAGACAGCAGAATGAACAAAATCTAGTTTGTGCTGTGGCGATTTGTAAATTGTGGAAATCAGTCATGGCTCTGTAATTGCACGTAGTTCTATGTCCAGTGTACAAGTGGTCAATAAATCCATTAAACCAATTCATAATCCATCTATAGTCACACACAAAACTGACTATAGTTTCATACCCTATATGCTTCCTTGGTCGTTCAGGTAGATCGTTCCTTCATATTTTCCAATTATCATTTTGTGTGCTTTTTTCATGTCTCCAGGGTGTACTACATGCCATGCCCAGTATGTTTTCCTTGATTTAATCATCTTTAATATTTAGGGGGAAATACAAATACAGACAGACAGAGGCAGAGGTGGCAATTTCTCTTTTCAAAGTGGTTGATTCTACGCCAGGTCAAGAACCGTTACCCTTCACACAGTACAGTATTCCTTCAAATCCTGTTACACAAGGCCAAATATATCTAATAAATGAAGTTCCAAATAACATCGTTGCCAGTACTTGCAAATATATTTCTCAGCAATAAGTGAAACTTGCCTAAAATATGACCAAAAATATGATTTTATATGTCTTCGGGCCCAAATATGACCTAAAGCTAAAAATGGTTCAAATATGCATTTATATGACCAATAAAAACCGTATTTTCATTTTCACAAGAGTCAGAAATGCGTTTATATTTAATTATACAAGTGAAAAGATGCCAGGATAAAAATATGACATATCATAGAAATCCGAGCCCTAATTGTCATGTTTAATAAATCAGTACTTACAATGAACTTCAAGGTTAAAAGTCTGATTTGCGGAAGGAGGCACTCCGTTGTCTGCAATGCAGTTGTAGATTCCCATGTGGCCACGGTTAACGCGTGTGATGTTCAATGTGTGCCCCGATACAGAAACAGCTGTAACACAAACATACCCTTAGGAGACTTTAGGCTTCCACATCAGTAAAAATTAAGATTGTGGTTTTCTTAGCTGTGTCACCTTGAAGCTTTTAGGTAGTTATCAACGTTTATCCCTTTGTCTTCGGTGCAGAAGACCATTATAGTCTTCAGATGTGTGTCAAGATTCTTGAAAACCTAAGATATAGAACCACTTTATTTCTGAAGTGGTTTTCATTCAGTGTTATTTAGTGACACTATATCAATTGTATCTTCTATATATCAAAGATTAGATGGAAATACATGAATGATGAAGAGATGTGTGCTTGGAAGACAGCTTTGACATATTCCAGTGTTCTTGCATTCGTATATAGAATTGAGGAATATAAGCAGAATCTGTTAGGATAGCCTGTAACCCAATCCAATTGGGGTGATACCCTCTGCACCAGCTAGCAGGGTACATGAGCAGAAGTTTTCCATATATATAATGAGTACTAGTAGAATTTGGCTGTGTGTTATAGCACATGTTACTGCACTACTGTTTCTACCTTGCCAAGAACCGAGGGGAATTACAGAACCGTCCAGTTTGCGCCATTCCACAGCAGGGCGGGGAATCCCTGTAGCTGCGCACCGAAGCCGGACATTCCCTCCTTCGTGAACGATAATTGGATTCAAAGACGGCAGACCCTCAGGGGCTGAAAGAAAATAAAAAAAAAGTACCATTTGAGAAATTCCACCATCTTCAACTCAACAAACTCCACAGTGAAACGAAGTTCTTGAAAAAAAATGATAGTTGTTTAACTGCCCAAGGAAACAGTTGCTTCTCCTACGGGTCCGTAAGGTGCGCGGAATATCCCGCCACTCGTTTCCATGCTGAGCTATTTTAAGCCATTTCTCTGATATCCGTTTTAATATTATCCTTGCATCTACTCGTAGATACCCCATATGATGTATTCCCTTTAGTTTTTACTCCTACTGCCCGTATTTTGTACTTTCCATATTTCTTATATACCCCGTGTATCTCATCCTCCGTCATGAACGTGCCATAACTGTCAGGGTAAAATTATAAATTATGCACTTCCTAACTGTGTAATTTTCTTAATTTTGTTTTGTGTTTCTAGTCTCATCCGTATGAAAACAAGCAAGAAAAGTACTCGCCATATCCTGTGAGTTCGGATTGTAACCTGGTATAAATAGTCGGTCAGTTAGTGGGGCTATCTTTAGTTCGATGTGCGTAATTTACCAGCGGACTCAGTGATACGAAAATGATCCTCTTTCCGAATCATGTAATAAAAATTTGAATACGTCGCATTTTTTCAGTTACAACCAAATAAAATTTGTAATGTGGGCAAATTCCGGATTGATGAAGAGTTATTATCCACAAATGCGGGATCGTTTTAGCTTTCCATAGTTATATCGAAATCATACATCAGAATTTAAGGAATCATGACCACTTGTTGATTACATAAAACAGCAGGGATTGTTTCTTGCAGTTCTACGTATATATTTTTCATGACATTGTTCTCAGGCAATTTTAACTCCATTCTTCCCATAGAAATCAGCAGAGAATTTTCAGTGATATGTGTATTAATTTGTAATGTATTTGGAAATAGGTTGAGAAGTCACCATGCTTTAAATTTGCTTGTTTCAACTAACGTGTTTGTGATACCGAGAAACTGAAAATACAGTATATTCAAATATTAAACATGACTGGAAAGATGCACTCGAATTAAAATACAGATATTTTGCTCACACAAACTTTGCGATGTTTCGCAAGGATAGAAATGTCTTCTTGAATTTAGTGGACACTCTGTATCTGTGGTACATCCCCGGGGAATAAGCGGCACATATCCTCTAAGTATGTTTTTTTAACTACGCTGTAAGCATCGAGAATTTATAACCTCGGTGATAGGATGATTACTGAACATGGAGCAGTTGATGGAATAATAATTGGTAGGGTAGGCCGAGGTACTCGAAGAAAACGTGCCTTAGTGCCCTTTTGTCTACCGTAAATCCCAAATTACCTGACCTGGGATCGAATACTAGCCGCCGCGAACGAAAACCGGTGAGAGGCACATACTCGTATTATGAGGGAAATGAATATAATGGAGATACGGGAATTAGTTCCTGCGTTTGCCGTTATTAAGAAAGAGAACTATCGTGAAATCTGAAGACACCGGAAAAAGTTTAGCGAAAGAAAGGGCTCTCTAGATACAAGCGCATGTCCATTTCCAGTCTTCTTCAATGGCTTTAAGTTTGTTGCTTGTTGATATACATGTGTTACTTCGGATACCAACCCATTTCCTCCCACACATGGCAACCACGGCTGCTGGAGCAGAATTCCGTTAGTGAACAGTGTACGCAGAACCGACAGAGACTCAACGAAACGAAATTAATGATGTAATTATATTTAGGTTTTAACAGCTATCAGCTGTGTTATACAGCTATACACTCTGCACAACGATACATTATATTTTCTCGTGTTTTGCTGAAACTTACCAAATACACAAATGCTTTATATGAAAATATGGTGGAAGAATCAGATGTTATTCTTAAGAAACTCTGTGTAATTGTGAGCACGGAGAATCTCGTGCTCAGTCTTTTGAGAGCTTTCATTAAACAGAGTTTGTCTGTGGTGCTCGGTGTTAAAGACTGAATAAAATTTTATGAATTTTGACTTAGGTAAAAAAGGCAAATCTATCGCTGTAACAGGCTGTAGAGGCGCATGGGGTTGTGAGTCGTCGAGGCCCCCACATTTTCTAGACAATCGAGTCACAGGTGGCTGTAAGGTTGTCAGCCTCACGCGCCGGCCGCCTTTAACCTCCCAGGAAGATTACTGGTACTCATTTCCGTTAGAACCTGATTCGACCCCAGGGCCATAATGCGGTCTCATCGGGAATCGGACCCTTCTCTCCAAACGCCAAAGATAGTTTGTTCAGTGCACGCGGTAGCGTAGTTGATTGAGACACTATGCTACAAGCCGGAAGGTCGCGCGCTCGATTCCCTATGAGGTCATTGTTTTTTCAGTTGACCCAATTCTTCCAGCTGCATTATGGCCCTTGGCTCGACTCATCCTCTAAGAGAAATAAGTACCAGGAAACTTCCTGACGGTAAATGACGGCCGGCGCATAAGGATGACAACCTCACCGCCATCTATGAGCCGATTGTTTAGAAAATTTGGAACCTCGACGTCTCACAACGCTACAGGTCTCCGCGGCCTAATACAGGGATAGCTTTACCCTTTTTGTATATACTGTAGAAAACAAGAGGATCTGAGGAAGAGACAGTAACTTAAAGTTCGCAATTTTCATACAAATGCTCATAAACGGAATTATTGCTGGCACTGAGCGGACTGACACAGCGGTAACCATTGATTAGAATTCCAGACTGAGGCAGTTTATAATTGCCTGAATTTTTCGTCATTTTCTTCACTCCCTTCAGGAAAATATATGGATAATCCTTTTAAATTGGATGAGGTCATTTTATTCTTGTCGTTTTCGACTTATCATTCTTAACCATTCTACCATTTCTCGTTCGACGCTACATAATCTCGGCACTTACATGACACATTAACCAGTGACTCATCCGGCCATACACACTCGACTTTATCTGCGGACTTGAATCGTACAGAAGTCAGCGACGGATCGGAAATTATGTTGGCCACTAACATGCGGTAAGAGACAGGTTTCGATCTGGTCCAGAGTTCTTCGCCTCGGCCAGAAACCAGAAGCAGAAAAGATATCAGAAGGAAAGTATATATTCGTGTAACAGAACATGTTATATTTGTTGCCTTGTGCATATATTAACACTTTAAAGACTGGATTTCTAGTAAATGATACATAAATTATAATTCCTTTCGTACCTCACAGGGAAAACTTGTCTCCGCTACATATGGCGGCCGGTTATTGCTTCACAGGAAATAAACCGCTGTTTACAATGAGAACCGTATGGAAAACACATACGAGTATACGGACTGTAAAGAGAATGTACAGTTTGGTTAAGTCAGGTGATACCTATAGGACCACCGGGTTTTTAAAAGATCAATATATTATATCTAAAATGCGATCCAAAGGGTTAAAATTTGGGTATTTAAAAAGGAAAAATGCATGGTATAATCATGTACCTTTTTGGAGTTTGGCAGGGCATGTAGCACGAATGGGGGAGACGAATGCATATAGGATATTGATGGGAAAGCCAGAAGGAAAGAGACCACTGGGAAGACCAAGACGGGGGTGGGTAGACAATATTAAAATGGATCATAGAGAGATAGGATGGGATGGTATGGATTGGAATGGTCTGGCTCACGATAGGAACCAGTGGAGGGCTCTTGTGAACACGGTAATGAACCTTCCGGTTCCATAAAATGCTGGGAAATTCTTGAGTAGCTGCAGAATTGGCGGCTCCTTGAGAAGGACTCAGCTCCATGAGTAAGTAAGTAAGTAATTACCTTTTTTGAAACAGAGCAAACTGCTTCAGTACTAAAAGTATCACATTTCTATCCCGAACTAAATCTTTGCGCGTTTGGGGGGAGGGGCAGCGAGATTAGAGTGGGTGGTTAGGGCCGTGGTCAAAGTGTGTGGCGGGAGTTAGAGGGGATCCTGACTCTTCCCTATATACATGAGTTACCTTCTCAGATCGGGATTGTGACCGCTCAAGAGCGTCGGAAATATACGGCGTGTGCGGCCGTCCGTTTAGTGCGTCTCTCAGAAGTTATCGCATTGTTCAGAATAAACCGGCTTGACGGTGGCACAATAGAGGACGTTGCTGAGGGCATTCCGAAACGCGGTTGTAGTCAGTCGGTACAGGCACTCAATAGCACGTACACGTCGCAGTGTCTGCTGCACTTCCCCTCGCTACAGTGACCTGTCAACTGCAGGAGCGTAGTCTGGTCCGCACATGTTCTCCAGTGATCACCAGAAGCAAGCTTTCTACCGTCTCACTTCTGTTCTATTCGACAAAACCTTCGCATACTTTTATTTCATGTGGCATTTCATTTGAGTTCGAGTTACGACAAATATGTTCTCCTTTATTATTAATATCATTATTATTATTTATAAATATTTACACTTTACAACAGCAACTTAGATTTGTGTTAATGAAATTATTATTACTTTGTTTCTTTCCTTATATGCATTAATGTGTTTTTCTCCAGTGCTTACCTTCAATTAGTCTTTGACTTTATGTTGTGTTTGTCCAGTATGTAACTACTTTTTATCTACACTGTTCTGTGTCTGTAATTGGCCTTGTGGCTGTTGGCTCAGCAATAAAATATAAAAGAGCTCATTGAATTGAATTGAATAATTTATTTATTGTAACGTGAATACCCATTTCCAGGCCACAGCTCCGTAAACATGTTCCAACACGCAACAATGGAAGGACGTCATCTCTAGGCCATGCTCGAAATACGCGCACGCAACAATAGGGGAAGCTGTTTTCTTTGTGTCCGCGGTGACGTCACACGACATTAGGTAGCGGTCACGTAACATGTGTTTTCGCTATGTCCCTGTTCGTGCCGCGTTTATATAAGTGAGCAGAATTCCCAAGCTGAGCAGTATGACGTATTACTGCAGGCAGTGACTCTGACAAACGACAGACCCGTCCTCTCGTCAGTGAAGGCGACCCACATAACAAGACTGTAACTGCCAAACAATAACTATTGGGGCTCAGCACCAAGACTGACTGACTGTCTGTCAAT